GCCATTGAACTCTGACACGAACCAAAAAAACCAAACACTGGCCCGCCTCCTAACCTCGGTTGGGGTTCAGATGAAGTGAACTCTGGTTCAGTTCTAATGCATATGTGAACGCCAAGTGGACTGGAGACCGCTCCAAAAGCAGGAAGTGGACTACAACACAAGGTATTCTGGGTAAATAGAAACTAAAACAAATCCACTAGCCTGGCTTAGTGCCAGCAGGTGAAACGGCTCATAGTTTTTAGCCAAAAACAGAAGAGAAATTCTCCAGCTGCTAAAATCTGACAGCACTCCATTTTTATTTCTATTTCATGAAGAAGGAAGTTGTGCTCAATGTCTTCTTCAGAAGTTTTTGTGTTGTTTCCTTCAGTGGTTCTTGGTGCAGCGCACCCACAGGTGAGGAGGGGAACTGGTAGCTCAAAGGGTTTGGTTGGTTTGACACAGTGCTGAAATGTTGCAGTTTTGGTCCCAATCGTACCGAGATTACCTGACTGTCGCGTGGAAAACACTCTGAAACTGTGGTAAATAATATCCATCAACTGGAGATCGCTTAACATTATTGAAAAAAGATTTGGTTTCAGCAGGTGGCATTTTAGTTTCAAACTAACATTTAAAATGAACACTTGCCTTGTGTTTTAATATGCTACTTTTCTTACTTTCTGTACCTTTAGCTGTGTTGCTGTGCTAATGCTAGTTTTTCTAGAAACAAAAAACAAAAATAGAACATTCAGTTTTAGCATTTCTTAATTGCTTCAGCTTTCCGTTATACCAAAAAAAACAGGCAAAACACTCAAAATTGTCTAATTCTCTCTGTGCTGCAGTTTTAATATCAGCCTACATAAGATCTTTTTCTTCAGTCTACTGCTTCTCATTCAAAACTGTTATGTCCACGAGCAACATGTTCACTTTAAACTGTAAATGAAAGAAATAAACAAACGCTACCTCCATGCACAAACTGAAACGGCAATTTTAGACACAAAATAATGCAACGTTTTATGTTTTGTCTTCTACTGTAATAGTGGTACAGATGAAATTTTTCGTTTGTGACTCCACTAATGAAGAAATATAATTTTGTTTGTTTGTACTGCTTCTTGTCCCTGCTTCATCCATCACTCCCCTCTCCGTCCAGCACATTCTGGACTCCTTTGTAAAGCACAATGTATCACCAAATATAAGAGACAAATGAGAGAAACAACAACTATAAAGTGGAGAAAAAGGTTCTGCTTTTTATCAATAAATATTGTTTTCTTTTATCACGGTGAGCTGAAACTTCTGGACAGTTTTCTGCTTGCCAGTGGGATCCAGTTCAAACCCAATGTGCGTTATTAAACTGCACCCCAAATAAATGTCCTATTATTTTAAGGTACATCTCTTGATTAATGGTTAGAGATTTGGTGGAAGGACAGTCCACAATGGCAGCACTCGAGCAGAACTTCTCATTTTAGCGTGTCGGTGTCAAGTCGTGAGTCCTTCGGCATAAATACATAATTGGCCGTAGAGAACTCCATTAAGTTACTTGATATTTCTTGATTACAAGCAAAAATGATGAAGCATTCTCAGCCTAAATGGAGACCCGGTCTGATTGCAAACGTTTAATCGTTGCCCTTACAAGCAGACTAATTTCCTAAGAGCCCTTAAGGGTTGCCATTATGTGCAGTTTATGGCTGCACTCCTTCCTGGCCCAGACCATCACACAGCCTCTGAATCAAACCACTTCACCTGTTTGCGCCGCGAGGGACAGCTTTCTCTACCAGCCGACTGGTAAGCTACTTTCTCCTTGTAAAACTATTAAATATTTGACTTTGTAGCACAAGAAATGTTGAAATCTGAACTGAAATGCAAAACGTAAATGTCCAACTACATATTCTTAAGCTACAAAATTATTAAACTTTTGTTTTTCTTAAATCTTAAAGTGGCAGTGTTATGTGTTTTTCAGGCACATTGTGTCACTTTGTAGCGCAATCAAGTAACTATATTAGCTTCAGTTGTTACAAAAATGTTATTTGTATCAATAACTTAAAGGAAATTTTACTTCTTGATTTAACGTTTTGGAAATCGGGCCTCTGTGTCTTCAGAGAAACTTGGTTTCTCTGAAGCTCCACCTTCAGAAGTCATCCCAACATGGCTCCTCCATTAACCCTTTAACAACATTTTTATCAGCGTTACTCCTATGATGTGCTCAGCAGTTCCACCACGTGTTTGCTAATTGCTGTTTGCTAGTCTGAAGGGGCTGAGTGGGGGAGGAGCTGTATTTAGAAGGCGGGGCTAGGTCTAACCAGGCGTGTTGCTCAGCTAAATGGTTGCCATGGAGATTAAAGGCAACGCTCCCGGTATGTTTTTGTTGAGGGAAGAACATAACATGATGGAAATATTAAAAAAGCTGATTTTACATAATTTTGCCCCTTTAATATTTTGTTGGTGTTTGGAAAATGGGCCGTCTCAAATGCGTCCAGACTTTTAAGTTGCGATTGGAGCACAGTGCCCTGATTGGTCGGCTGGTTTTACAACGGCTGCTGGAAAAGAGAAGTGCTCAGTTGTTGACTCACCGTCCAGAGACCATTTGCTGCGTCCCTATTGGCTGTTCAGGAGGCTCCACTTCCTCTGCTTCTGGGTCAAAGGTGAACAGTTGCAAAATTATGTATCTATTTAAGCTATTTCCACGTGTTGATTCTATAGTCTGGTGTTCATTTCTTCCCACCTGTTTCTTCAACTTTTCTTTTGCATATCACCTTATGTGCCCCACATTTTCCTAACTTGATTAACAGAAGGTATAAAAAGTTCCCTTAAATCGAGGCTTTGTTTGGATTAAGCGCATTGTTTGTAAAACATAATGTTCTAGAGCAGCTGACATCCTCCATGTGGATGATGGCCTTTTATGACTTGAGAGGTTAAAACAAACACACCAGAAAGCATTAACAGCCTGATTTTATTACTGCGCTAACAAAACGCCAAAGGAAGCAGAATAATTCTGGCTGCAACAGCAGAAGCCAGGAATGAAGTGAAGCGCTTTCTGTCCAACTGATTGGAGGATGTTGAGTAATGAGTGTGTGAGCGCATTAAACATGAACTCACTGGCACATTTTCTATGACTGATGGCCCGCCGCAGGTCTTCTCTCTCTAATCAATGGCTGGATCACCTTTACTTATTTAAGATGTTGCCTCATTATGTACAGCACTTCAGCTATAATGAGAGCCTGAGGAGCAAATGTAATTAAAAAGATAACATCGTCTTTGAGTCCAGTCATCGTCTGAATGCCGAACGGTGTGAGGATTTCAAAGACTGGCCGACGTACATTAAATATGAGGACAGGAGTTACATTTTCTCCGTGACGGACAGCTCCATCGATTAGTCCCGACGTCAGCTGCACGCTGCAGCCTTTTACGCAGCTTTCCCCGACGCTCCTCCAGGTATTAGCCTTTTGATTGCGTTAATTAGGGCTCCTTGTTTTACGCTGCTTGTTAACGCCGCGCATTTGATTAAGATTTCATAACGTCTGCAGCTCAGACTGGGGCTGGACCGCGGCAGCCCGTCTGCCATGAGGACAAACCAACAGAAGAGAAACCAAAATGCATTCCAGATATCTCAAAATGCATTCTGGCTTTCTGGAACGGTAATTTTAAGATATCCACAGTTACATCCTGACTAATGAGAATTATAATCCTGGATATCTTCAATTACATTTTGGGGAGTTCAAATGACTTTTTAAATTTGAAATTGGTTTCATCTGACTATCTGTAATCACATTCTAGACATCTAAAGCTACACTTTGGTAATTTAAGATATCTGTGTTTACAGTCTGACGACTCAGAATAATAATTCAAAATTCAAGATATCTTGAAATCTTGAATCAAGTCACCGGCCAAGAAATATCTGATATTTAGTTTTTCTGAGTCATTATTTGCTTTCAAGACATCTGCAATGTAATCTATTAAACTATTACCTAAAACACATTTAAAATATCAAATATGTTAAATTATGATTAGCCTGAAATGTTAGTAATTCACTGTGGACATCTTGAATTGAAGCCTCCTTAACTTGGTGTAATTTATAAAAGTCAGAATGTAACTAGAAATATTTCAAGTTGGTGTTTTATCTAGTGAAAGTATAACATAATAAGTCTAGTAATGAACCAATTTCAGATATTTTGAATGAAAGTGTGGTTAAACAGATTCTGTGATAAGTTTTCAGCTTCAGTCGGAAGGCATCAGCTATTCGGGTCGTTTCAAAATGAGATTAATGTGAAACTGCGCCACAAAATGACGCCACCCCAGACGCGTGGCAGCGTTTGAAAGCGGAGCTTGGCTTCAGGTGCGGATGCTGTCGTCATCCCTCCCCGGTCCGTGCTGTGCAGGGCCTCGGGTCTCCTGGTGGGAGGGCGGCCCAGTCAAAGCCTGAATGCTGAGCAGAAGCCTTTCACATCACCTTTCATCATTAAAGCCAACAGATTAAAGGAAGGTTAAGGAGCAGGAACGCTTTAGAAACTTCAAAAAAAAAAAAGAAAAAACTTTAAGAACCGTATGCAAAAGGAGGAAAGTTTAAAACTTGAGGTGAAACTTTTTGAAGAGCAACATGGTGATATTTTAGCTCCTCTGATTCCCTGATTCCTCACTAAATGTAGCAAATGTTAAAGTTGTAGCATTTAACTTTTAGGAAAAAACTAAAGTTCTATTATGAACAGGCGACATGGGCATCTGCCCAGGGTAGCATCTTGTGGGGAGCGGCATGAGCCACAGCAGGTACGGAAAACCACAAACGCAAAAAGGCTAAATGGCGCTTGTGGGTCAGATTCACTAACGTATCAGTAACGCGCAAGTATAAAGGTTCTGGCTTGGAAAAAATGATATTGTGTTATATTCTATGTAATTAAAATTCCATCCCTTCATTTATTTGTATTCTTTGTTCAATTTAGCAGTTTATTAAAGCTGCTCAACTCTGTGCACAAACACCGCATCATCTGTGTATCTCGTTTTTGATTCTGAAACAAAAAAAACCCCAACACATATTATTTTGGACATTAATATCTTTTCTCTTTTATTAAGACAAGAACTCTTCATTGTTTTGTAAAAATGTCTATTTATGAACCAATACAAAATGTGTATGGGAATGTGGAACTCCTGTTCTCCATTAATACACATTAAATTTTTCTCAAGTACAGCAGAGAGACAAAAAGAACAATCTGAAACAAGAACCGGGTGGAACAATCAAATCTTTTTTTTTTTTTTTTTTGGGGAATCAAAGGAGTTTGAAAAGGCGGTGGAGCGTTCAAAGTGACAGTAGTACAGCCACGACACGTTTCTGATCCTGCTTCATTCCAATAAACGTATGATATGTCAAAGAAAAGCAATACTTAACACTTTTTTTCTTTTTTACAGTGCACCAAATATTGAGAAAAAATACATAAAACATGTACAACATATTGTATATGCAAAACATCTCACCAGTTCTGGACCTAAAAAGAATGTGTTTGCACTTCCGGACTTGATGAACGCATTTGTACACGCCTTTATGTTGTCGACAGGTGGGGCCTAATCTTTGCATTCTACCTGAGATGCAGTCACATCGATCAGCAACACATGAACCTGAGACAGGACATTATCAAAGGGATCCAATGTGCAGGAAACTACCTCAGTTACAACATATGTGCGTTCTTTTTTTCTTTTTCGTGTTTTAATTTACAGGGAATATCCAGAAAAATAAACCAAAACCTTATGTGTCATTTACTCCAATCTCTGATTAATTCGACATACACAAATGGCATCGTTCATGTTTTTAGAGTACAAAAAAGTCAAAATCAACAAATCAGCCTTAAGGAAGAAGCAACGTCCCCGTCAGTTCCTGCATTGACGACTTTATGTCTTAAAACTGGATCTAAGTGGAAGCTGCCATTGATCATGGAAGCAAAAACAGTGCTCACTGTAGAATACAAATCACAAAGTTGCAGCCTAACAGATGAAGTGGTATCTGCTCTGTGATCCATAAAGCAACAATAACCAGTCAGATATTTGTCATTTTTTTTATTCAGACACCAGACCGTGAAACATCTAATCTAATCAGTCCCCGTTGCCCAACCCCCACCCATCCGGTTTACACAAACACAAAACAGTGTCGTCAGCATACAGAGTGAACATTGTGGTGATTTATACGCGACTTATTAAATCGAGTACACGAAATGTGTGTAACTAATATGTACACGTCCGGTGAAAAAGCCAAAAAATGAAGCTCCCAGCTACAGCTAACCCAACTGTTCTTTTCTAGGGCTGCAAACATTTCATTAGCACAGACGGGGTAAAGGTTAAAGAATGCATTTCAGTCCGTTCCTTTGAGATAAACCTCATCTTCAAATCCTCAACGTAAAAAGCCTGAATGCTGTTTTCATGCATGACTATGATATTTTAAAGCTATCACACAGCTGATGTGATTCACATTTATAAAACACACTGAGATGCTTCAAAGTCACAGCTAGTGGTAGATATGAGGACACACCGCAAGCAACACTCAGTTCCCCAAACAGGGACTCTAAAAGTAACTTTCAGTCCAAAACGTTCAGTGGGATGGACTGATATGTATTTATATCGGTGAACTGAAAAATATAATTGATAAAGTCAGCAGAAGACAAGAGGTGTTAGGTCAAAACTAGCTAAAAAGCTAAACTTAGCTGTGTAAATGTTCAAGGCATATGGGCTAAACCTAGCATGTTGACTAACATGTACTGACTCCGTTCAATGAGTTGGGCTTATCATAAATAGATCAAATGACATAATGCAATATTGGCCAACAGTAGCATTTCCTATTCAGTTTGCAAACACTTGTTGAGAAGATAAAGTTAGCTAAAATGCTCATGCTAGCTTAAATGCTAATTTTATGGCTGATCTGGGTGCTGTATTAGCATTTTCCTTGTATATTTTGTTGTTTGTTGTCATTATCTTTTCTCCACTTCACCGAAACATCATTTGAGCTAAGAGAGTTGAATAGTTAGTTCTGATTAAAACTGTATTTTATTAATTATATCAGTGATTATCAGACGAACTGTGAGTCAGAAGGTCTGACAAAAAGTCAATCAGAAAAAAATTGTCTGAGCTGCCAACTTTATATAGAGGCGATTGAGGGATTTAGTCAGTTTTAGAGCTTTTCAGCTGTTGATTATTTTAAATTTTCTTCTTCTACAGTCAAGTGACATCATTTTACTACTTACAAAATAAGTAGTGCCATGTGAAGAAATTACCACAAAATAGGGAAGTAATGGAAAGCCAAACAGTCGGAGCAGAGCCTGCTGCTGGCAGAGACCTCTTCATTTTACAGAGAATATTTCTCCTTTCTGCCATCTTCTCTGCCAAAAACTTTCTTACACCATTCATATCACTACCTCTAACATTTTGTCAGCTTAGGTCTTAATGCCTATGATGCTACATGAAAAACTTTAAGCTTACCGAGGGAAAGTTCTAAGAAAAAGGATAACATTTTCAGAATGTTGAGCGTTTTTCTAAAATGATGATGTTAGGAGCGAATTTTAGTCTTAGGATTCTTTATGAATAAAGGTCTAAAATATTCGGTGGGATTAATTAAACTCAAACTAAAAAAAAAAGTTATTCCCCCCCCTCCCAAAAAATCCATTACTTGTGGTTGATATTTTAAAGGGGCCACATTTTGCAAAATTCAGATTTTGCACATTTTTGTATTTCCTCTTAGGTTTCTACAGCTTCTAACAACAGCCCAAGCACTGAAACTCAGCCCGTTACCTAGCAACCCAAAACTGAGCTCCAGAATATTTGGTCAGTTGTTGTTGACTTACCATCCAGAAACCATTTGCTTTGTTCTTGTTGGTTATGCAGGAGGCTCTACTAATGCTTTTCAAAGATGTATAGTTTACACTGACTTGGGGGGGCGTGGCCAGCAGCATCTTAATTTAAAGTGACAGAGGCCATACTGAGGACATTAAAATCACCTAAGAATTATTTTTTGCACAAAAAAAATATGATGAAATACTTTTTAATGCCCTGTTCTAACTTGTTCATTTAGTCATTTTGCCCTGGAAAAACACCCAGAATTAAAATGACAGTGATGCAGATGATGGCAAACAAGCTTTATGTGACACGAGGAGTGAAAACCACTAAACATTCACACTAGAGGAAGCCTGCTCCAGCCGCTACCTCCGCCCACATCCTCCCACATCTGTCCTGGACTCATTAAACGTGTTGCTTGCTGTGTGAACTCATAAGAACCACAACAGAACCACCAGGCGCTCTGCGTTGTTGACAAGCTGATGCAAACAACGGATTAACGGCATGGAGCAGAAAATGTGAGGGAAGTTACTTTACAGGCAAACGTTAACTTTTGGCGTAACTCCAAAGCGACTCCGGTTCGGTTCTGGCCGGTGGTGCCAAAGCGGAACCGAAACGATCCTGGCGCGGATCCAGACATGCAGAAAAACGTGTGAAGTATCGAAGCGTTCAAAAAGCGGGCGGGTGAAAGCAGAACCCGAGTGGTGTGACCGTCAGAGCCGTTCGGTTTCCTCTCCGTTTGTCAGAACTTAAGATGAGAACCAAGGCGTTCGGGCGTTACTCTGGGAGGATTTGTGATTCCTCTGGTTTCATCTACATCCAGTGTTTATGAGAATAAATGAAACCCACCGACCAACGCCCGCTAGAGCTCAAATGAAGTTCAAACTTACAGATGTTTCAGTTTAAAGCTGGTTAAGGCGGTTCTTTCTACTGCGGTAACTGCACAACACGAGCATCCTGCACTTCAACAACCAGGCATCTCCCTTGAAATAGGATATTTTATTTCTTATTTTCTCCACTTGGAAGAAAAAAAAAAACACTTTAGATTGAGAGAAAATGCAAACAAACTGAAACGCTGGTATGTGCAAGCATTTCAATCATAAAAAAACAGGAGGAAATTTTCATTAAGCAACATGGAAGAAAACTAGGGGTGTAATTTAGAAAGCAGGCTGAGATCAGTGAAAATCTGTTTATTTTTGCAAACGTTCTGGTCATTTTGCCCCGTCACCTTTTTGATAAAAAAGTGAACTCCGGTTTGGTTCTGATTGTGAACACCAAGTGGACCAGAGACCGCTCCAGAAGCAGGAAGTGGACTACAGCGCAGGGCATTCTGGGCAGATACAATCAAAACAAACATCTTAGCCTAAGCGAAAGAAATGGCAAAGATAAAACACAAATCCTCCAACCGCTAAAATCCGGTGGCATTTTCACACTATCCGATGAAGAAGAAAGTTGCACTCAGTGTCGTTTTGATGTCGTTTCCTTCAGCGGTTCTTGTTGCAGCGCCCCCGCAGGTAAGGAGGGGAACAAGTTGCTCAAAAGGTTTGGTTGGTTTGACTCAAAGCAGTTTGAAATCGAACCGAGTCTACCAGACCATCAGGTGGAAGACACAGTCTGTAGTTAATAACATCTACAATCACTTAATGTTATTTAAGTGACCTTAAGTGATTTAATTAAGGGTCAGAATCAATTGTAGAATAAAAATAAATAAATTATGGTTTAACACACCATTATATACAAATAAATTAAAGTTTGCATGAGATTCAATCGGTTTACGTACAAATGTACGAATTTGCTCGTTTCCAGATGTAACAGAAATAGGACAAGAGGCAAAATGACCCATAAACCTTTGCATCCTTGCTTCTGGCTGTACGTTTAGGTGTTGTTGGTGGGGGAGTTTAATAAAAACAAACCTGCGTCTGGTTTAGGCTGTCCGTACAGTGACACACAAAGCGCTCCATGCATTACGTCTTCAGAACCTCAGAGGGAAAAGAGAGAGGAAATGGCTTGAGACAAATCACAGTATACTTGAAAGAGTATTTGTTATGCAGGAGGGGAGAAGAGCGCGCGTGTGCAGACACATTTAGAGAAATGAATAAAGTGGCTGTGTAATTTTACCCTCATACAAAAGCCGACAGCACGCTGATAATAACAAGTGTTGGGGGAAGAAAAGATGAAAACGGGGAAAGAAGAGCAACGAGGTTATGCAAATGACAATCAGTACGGGTGTAGAGTGTGGAGAGAACAAAATAATTCAGAACAAGGCACAGAATTTTCTGCAAATGGTGGAACTAAAAGATAAAACTTCGTACCAGCAGTTAGGGAGGTGTTAAATGGTGAAGCTCTCTACAGTGATTTCTGGCAACATCTGGCGCCCCCACCCACTCCCACCCACTCCCCACCCCCGGACTTGCTTTTATTTTATTTTATTTTTTTGATATTTTGTCTTTTTTTATCTTAAACACAAATAACATTCCATCTACATCTGCAGACTAGACTAAACGACGGCGTAAAACCAGGCCTTTCCTTCAAAATCCCTCCTCCATCCCTTTCACCAAAAAGCGATCCGAATCCGTCAAAAAAAACAAACCCAGCCCCATCCCCGGGAAAGCGGCTCGGCGTGCCGGCGACGGCATCCGAGCGAGGGCGGGGTTCCCCCCGGTTCGGGTTAGATGTAATACTCCTTCTTTTCGTCCGAGTTGGTGTGGCCGCCCTCTGCATTGATGATGGCTGTGTCTGCGTCCGCCGCGTCGTCTGCACCTTTGGCTTCGTGTGTGAAGTAGGTACCTGAGGAGGGGCAGCGGAGCACAGAGTTACCCCACAGCAAACAGTGACTTATTCACCACAGCTACAACGAGTTCGGGCTGCACAATCAATCAGTAATAATATATATTGCAACAGACACAAGATCAACTGATAATACATATCAATATTCAAGATAGTCACCAAAGTTTTATTTATTTATTTTTTCCTAAATCACCTTTTAGCAATAGAAAGGTGGTGTTTATTTTTCAAAAATACGTTTTGACAACATTATTTTACAGAACCGCACAGAGCTGCACGGCCTTCTGGGAGACGTAGGCAGAGGAAACCTTTCGCTGCTCAACCTCTATGCTAGTGAAGTTGGGTTGGTGGCAACAACTCACTCTCACTGTGTGGTTGCCTAGCAACAACCTGCAGGGTAACAAGCAGTTTCAAAGCCTCCCCCTACACCCTCCCAAGTTCAGTTGCCTAGCAACAACCTGTTGAGTAACAGCCACAGTTTCAGTTTTGTGCTTGAAATAAATAATGGTGAAAAGTGAAAACTGAAGTTAAAACAGTGAAGAGCATTTCAGAGAGCCAGAACAAAAAATCGAATCAATACTTGTTGATAGATGATCATGTTGTGATACGTTTTTCAGCCCCATCGTCCAGTGTGAGAAATTATTTCATACTAAAAATGAGGCACTGTGCTTGTAGTTTACCTTTCATAAGCTGTCGACGCACCGCATCTTATTGTTTACATCCAGAAATTTCGCAACGCAAAAAAAATGCAATTCTTGGATGCGAGACCTGGAGATGTATGAATTATTAATTTAGTGCACTGCGCCGCAGCAAGAAATACAAATAAAACATAGAAAAAACGTTGAACAACAACTCAAAACCAGCCACATGTTGGCCTGACAGGATAACACATTTTGCTGGATGGCAAATTGTCCCAGAAATTGTTGCAATAAACGCTGATATTGTCCCAGAGAATGATGCAAGTACACATTCTCAAAGCTCAATAAACTTTAAACTCTAATGAACATTTAACACCAGAGCTGGAAGATATCTTAAATATCCAAAATAAATAAGCAAAACAACAGAAACAAAAACTAAAATGAATTATGAAGTTTCTGTAAACAAAATTGTCCTTTAACAAAAAAAAAAAAAAAAGCAAAAAAGGCCAGCTGAGACCAAAACAGCAAACTGAAGATGTTTATCATTTGGTAGAAAGAAAAACCAGGCAAATGAAAAGTATTGATTTATTGCTGATCGTCGCATGTTCTTAACTTAAAATCAAGTACTTAATTAGTGCGTTTTCTACTACACTACAAGTACATGGATCGCACTATTCTCGATATACTCATCAAAACAAACTTCGCGTATGCTACTTTTTGCTAAGGAACGGCGCGGCTAACAGGCTGCTGCTTTAGATGACACCACAGATTAAAATGTGACCCTCCATTCACAGCACCTGATTATGTAAATCCTCACATCCACACACACCCACACACACGCACACACACACGCACCAGCAGCAGCAAAGAGTCACACTCAGATTCTCCATTTTGCCCCGGTTTGCTTGCTGCAGGATTGGCACATGAAAATCAGGGCCTTGAAATGATCTTGAGTACGCAGAGGAGTGTGGATCGCACGTTCGAATTAACCTTGTCAAGTTGGGCAAAAGAAAAGGCCACTTCAAACCTCATTTGCAAGATTTATTCACACCCTGTCACAGCGGACGAGTTCGGTAATGATGACAATATATCGAGGCTGAGTGAGGGAGAAAAATGCCAAACGAGAAAAATTACTGTTTGATCAGACAGAAACAAGGTGCTCAGCGCTGCTGCAGCAAGCACCGACCTGCTGGAGGGTTTTCTTCTGCTCTGCTTTAATGTCGCACTCCGACCAAACTAATGTTAACATTACGCAAATCTAACCCGAATAAACACAAAAAACTGCTTTCAGAAACAACCTGGCACTGTGTGAAGAAGTGATCGCCCTTGAAACTTAATAATCCGGTCAAGTGCCTCATTTCAGCAGTAATTAAACAAAACCAAAGAAGAAACGTTTCAGTGGCAAAATAAGGAGTAAAGAAACGTTATAATCCAGACTAAACTATGGCTGGATGATATGGCAAATGTACCACAATATAACCGTTTCATATCAATCAATACGTATAATAACTGATTAGTTTATAGTTTTAAATATCTGAATACTACCAACCTGATGGTGTGACTCTTCCTGTTTAATCCACAATCTTTGCCCCATGTTGTCTTTTTATCTTATTTTGAAGCTCAGTGGGGAAACCTTGAACTGCTGCTGCGCCAGTTACGCAACAGGTTGTTGCTAGGCAACCGAAGAGTGGAGGTGAAGTTGCTGGTGTGCTTGGGATCATTGTCCTGCTGCAGAACCAACGTGATCCAGACCATCATACTGCCACCACCCTGTTTCAACACCAGACCATCATACTGCCACCACTATGTTTCAACAACAGACCATCATACTGCCACCACCCTGTTTCAACACCAGACCATCATACTGCCACCACCCTGTTTCAACACCAGACCATCATACTGCCACCACTATGTTTCAACAACAGACCATCATACTGCCACCACCGTGTTTCAACACCAGACCATCATACTGCCACCACTATGTTTCAACAACAGACCATCATACTGCCACCACCATGTTTCAACACCAGACCATCATACTGCCACCACCATGTTTAAACAACAGACCATCATACTGCCACCACCATGTTTCAACACCAGACCATCATACTGCCACCACCATGTTTCAACACCAGACCATCATACTGCCACCACCCACAGACCATCATACTGCCACCACCATGTTTCAACACCAGACCATCATACTGCCACCACCCACAGACCATCATACTGCCACCATGTTTCAACACCAGACCATCATACTGCCACCACCATGCTTCAACACCAGACCATCATACTGCCACCACCATGCTTCGCTCTGAGGATGATGTTCCTCTTCTGGAAAATGCTGTCCTGCTTCTAAGCTAGATGTAATAAATAAATAAAGTTTGTTGTAGCAGTCTTCCTGTTAAAATGTGTTGTTTCTTTCCACTGTCACCACATGCTTGCTCAGGCTGACTCGATGTGTTCAGCCTGACTTTCTTAAATCTAATGTTTTGCCACTTGGCATTAAATTATTGACTTATGTTGATTGTGTTCTATTAAAACTTGAAACTAGGTTATCTTGGCTCTTAATTTCCAATAACATTGGAAATGTTGTGACCTGTTGAAGTACTTGGCAGGCTGACCAGCATTTCTGAAGCATTTGCTTTGGAGAAAAGCTGCCATACTGATAATGTGCTGATGCCAAGTAACCTGAAACTCTGACCCAAGCAGAATGATAACATAAAAAACATTTTTTCTGCATCTCTAATTGCCTCATTTATGCCATTTCCCCTCTGAAGTGTTTAATGTACGCAATCCCATTTCCTCCTGAGTTGGAAACATTAACGTGTGAAATTCCTTAATTATCCAGCCGCCATGAGAGCGGCGTGCGATGAATGTCGTGTTATTCATCAGGATGGCTAGAAAAATGCAGTTTTACTCATCATCAGTAACCCGCAGCACTAATGGCTGCTCCTCCATCATTTGGCAAACACCCAGCCAGTGATGTAATAAGAGAAACAAACTGAAGCACTTTCCCTCGTGACGGTGCAGATGGCGCTCCAGAGTATAAAAATGAGCTTCTAAAAATGTTAAATATCTTCAAATAAAATTCTTAATTCATCTCTGTTTCACAAATTTGAGCATTCTGAGTATTTTAAGAGGAATAGTCGACCTTTGAACCCTTCAAGCTTTTATTATTTTTTATGGGATTAAAAAGGAGCAATATGTCCAATAAAAGAACAAACAAATCCCAAATTCTCCTTTTTCTGGTTGATTCTTTGAAAAATACCAAAGGTACCACAGATTGTGGATGCTGACATTAGCATTAGCATCAGCGCTGCTGCTGCTACATATTTAGCAGTGAGAAGTTATTTCATTCCTGCACAGCTTTGCTGACAGGCTAACTCCTTTTAGCACAACTCAAACATAACAATAGTCTCTTCCAGCGTCCAATCAGATCCTTTTGGAAGCTGAAATTAACTCTCAGTAAGCCGAGAGACGCGGTTTTGTTCTCCATCATCGTCATTTGTAGATTTTTGGGTACACCAGAAACACATGGGTAAAAAAATGTTACTGCATTAAAATCTCCATACATATTTCATTATGAAATATTGAAATCCTGACTCTACTTGAAAGGTTACATATAAATAAAGGTTTACTTATTTACTTCTGTACTTCAAAACTGAAGAAGCCTTTTGGATGAGAGATGAAACATTTTCATCGTCTGAGTATGAAAAGGGAGCCTATGTCAAAGTAGACGCTCATCACTGGCATGTGGACTAATAATTTTCTGAAGAAAACCTAAGAAAGACTGCAGTCAGTTGAAAGCAGAGTGAAAATAAACTCTGGGTCGTTTAAAACATTTACACATCCACAAAAACAAATAAACCTTTAGCAAGAAAGACCCGGAGTGTGAGCTGGTCTGTTACCTTTGTGTCTTGCAAAGTAGCGTCCCAAGACGATGAGCAGGCAGAGCATGGCGAAGACGACCACGGCCACCACGCCTCCGATGACGGCGTGGTCCACCGTCCTCGGTGCCCCTTCTCCAGCTCGAGAGTCTGAGAAGAGAAACGTCCATGAGAGAAACAGAACCAGTAAAACCGCCTGCGACACGGTGGGAAGGGCGATTAGCTTCCGAACCGCTGCGGATCTGACTGAGAAATGTGATGTAGACATGGACACCTCTTACTGGACAACCTCAGAGACACGGCGCTGTGGGTCACCTGTCACCGGGCAACTTATTCACATCCTATTAATATATCAATGTTATTACTGTCGCTCAATATAAACTAGATTATTTTGTTAATTTTATTAATCAGTTTATTGAAAACATTTTTTTTCATCAGTCACAGAGTCATCATCATGCAAACTTAAAATGTTAAAATTTTAAGTTTTGGTCTGTCACAATAACAAGCAATAACAAGATAAATTGTCCCAGAAGTATAAGGCTGTTGTTTTGAGACTATTTTCAAGTAATGTAATAGTAATGGAATAATAATAATGCAATGATCAATAAACTGTAAGATCTACTCAACATTTATCACTGGAAGATATTTTAAATATCCAAAATAAACAGATAGAGCGTTAGACACAAAAAATAAAATGAATTATGAAGCACTAATTGTTGAAATTCAGACCAAAGAATGAAAACTTTTATCATCCAGTATTTGGCAGAAAGACAGAAACGATAAATGATGCAAATGAAACCTACTGAGTCTGTTTTAAGTTATCATGCGATTAATGCATTTATTGTGACAGACCTGTGCAAAGTGCAAAGAAAATCGTGTGAAATGGCGGTGAAGCTCAAATTACTCCAACAGCTCATCGATATTTGTGCTTCTAGCAACGTTTTCATGTTGGTTTGGTTCAGTGGTGGAGGCCCAACTGTGATCTGGAACATTTCATCTTGTTGTGACTAGTGTGGTTCTTTGACTCCAGCAGGAAAGCATCTTAAAACGCTAAACCAGCTCCTCGAAACATTGAAAGACCTTTTTCTTCTTATTCTCATAACTGACGGTCACAAATTGCCGCAGTTCACAGTTTGAGTTCAGTTTGAGATGATTTTTCAAAAAAAGTCAGGAACTATAAATGGTTTTGAAATTTTCCTTCCTTTGACGGTTCAAACAAAGAGCCATGCAGTTTAAAATCCGCCTCCACGTGTGAGATAATGAAACAACAGCGGCTGTGTTCCCCTTAATGAAAGTAATTGGACCTAAGTGATAGTTTCTGTGTATAAATTGGCTCCCGGGACGTTTCCAGGAACTGTCAGGGATCTGCGGCTCGTTTCAAACTGACCCCAGAGCAGACTGACGCTGCTTTTCTGTGCGATTTCAATAAAAATAACCACCTTTTCAACCGACTTTGCAATTATTTCTCATCCTGCTGTTTACGGAGCGGAGAGGAAGTCAGGTGCCTGCTGCCCCCTACAGGACAAACCTCCACAACAGATGAATAAACTTTTATTTGCTGTGCCGACTTTGAATTCATCTCACTCTGTTTCTCCACTAAAATTAATTTAAACCAGAAACTTTTGATGCAGACAATCACAACCGTCCTCTGCACCCCGTCTGCAGCCCTCCGCCCCCCCTGGAGCCCACATTAACATCGTAATAGGAAAGTGTGTTAAAGCACAAACTCTCGCAGCCTGACAAGAAGTGAATTGGATGTCAGAAGAATTCCTGCTCAGTTTAATTGAACTTGCCCGGCACTAAAAAAAGAAAATCTGCAGTCAAAATAACCTATTAGCTCTATAAGGTGAAGCTTTGTTGAGTTTGACAAGTAGAACAGCATTGACCTCCACAGCGATGTTTTCATCACAATGTTTAAAAAAAAAGGTCTGAGTAAATACAAAAAGCATTTTTAAAATGGAACCTCCCCCCTAAACTTAATCGTTTTGACCCACTCTCCTTGTCCTTTCAGATACATTGGAGGTTTTCAGACCCTAAACATCCTATTTAAGGTTGCTCCACACCATCCCAGCAAGATTTAAATTAGAACTTTGACTAGGCCACTCTAATACAGTATGTTTATGATTGGTGTCATGTTGGATGACTGTAAACTATGTCAAAATTTTACTTGATGAAGTTTTCTTTAAAGAAAAAAATGTGAGTTTAGTTCTCATGATGCTACCAGAATATTTGTGCTATTGGACAGCAGAGGAATGGTGACCAACCTAGCCATAGTAGGTAGACACCAGTCTTTACAAAGCTAATGTTAGCCTGTCCATGCTAATGTACAACACAGGAAGTGGCCAATTCAGTGAAAGACCAGCTATTGAATAGTCATCCTATTCACTAGCCTTTTCAAAGCTAATGCTGGTAAGTAGCCTCCTTCTGATTTGCTAGCATCGGCCGTTCATTTACCATGTTTGGCCAATCATTAATCAGATCAGTAGCTAGCTTCAGAATGGATATAGCTTCTAGTGAAAAGCTTTCTCTGATGTAGTCCGTACAAGTCAGCCAAGGCATGCTAGTTGTTAGCCTCTCCAAAGCTAAAGCTAGACCATCTTTGCTAATGGCCAGCAGAGGAAGAAGCCAACCCTGTGGGCGACCAACCTATGTGTGCTAGTCATTAGCCTCCACCAAGCTAACGCTAGTGAGTTGCCTCAGTTACCGTTAACAGCTTCTCGTTAGTCAGATCAGTAGCTAGCTTAGAAGCACATGTAGCATCCTGTAACAAGGAAATGGTCCTCTGGGCCCCAACAGTCTTAATTTTGGCGCTGAAACTGCCCCAGTTGCAGACTTTGGTTGGAACCGGCCGCTATTTGAGCTAACATTGCAATTTCCTCTGACAACATCAGGTGATTTTTCTCCACACAGTGGCAGCTCCTTGGATTCTTCCTCTCTTTCTTCACCATTCTCTGTAAAGCTGACAGATGTTTGTACGCAGCTGTATGTTGTGTTCTTATTCCTCCGTGAAATTAGAACTTTTCAACTGAGTCAATAAAAGCCTTAAATTAATATGACATTCATGCCGATGAGCTGTAATAAATAGTTTGAGGCTGGCTATAAACCATGTCACAAATCTTGCCTGGAATGTAATTAGCGGGAAACTTGCAGGATCTTCGTTAAAGCACCGTGAAGATGCATCGTGTTGATGAGACCAAATGGGTTATTAAAGGACTTAATGTAGCAGCAAAAAAATAACATTAACCTCAGAATGGAAGTTGTGAACTGAAGATGTAGGACATTATGAGAAAAAACAAACTGTGTAAGAGATAGTCATAATTACTTCCCCGGCAGTAGCTCATGTTTCATGGCTCTCAGCTACTGTACTGTCCTTTAACAGCCAGGGACGTATACCTGCTCTACTTCCTGCTCATTTTTTAATCGACACATCTTTCATTTAGCGCAGCAGAGTCTCTAGAAAGTTTTCTGTTCTTTAATTTTCAAACTTCACCTCAAAATGTGCTTGAAATCTAAAAGCTGAGTTAAGGTTGGACGATACGGCTGAAAAACAAATCACAATATAAGCATTTTATATCAGTGGATATCAAACATTAGTGATAAGTTTTTTTTTATTGTTTTCAATGTCTAAAATACTGCACAACTAGTGGAGTGGCTTTTCCTGTGTTATCTACAGTTTTTACTACACGTTGCTTTTTATTTTTGAGCCGTTACGAAGCACAAAGGCAAAACCTGAAACTGCTGCTGCACAAGTTACTCAGCAGGTTGTTGAGTAAAGAGCGAGTGAGTTAGCTGTTGACACCAACCTAGCTTAATGGGCTGTAAGAGATTGAGCGGCTTAAGCCTTTCTCCTGCCTACATCTCCCAGAATGCTGTGCGGTTGTGGATGTGAGTTCAGTGAATATTCTACATATTGTCATCTTCATAAAATAATGGCCTAACTCTTTTTTTTTTTGCCAAACGTTATTTTAAGGAAAAAAAAAAAAGCCAAATGTACAAACTCAGGATGTTTGTGACACAGTTTATCACAAGACAAAAAAAAGGCTTATAAAAGAAAAATTATTTTTGTTTCACTTAACATTTTCTGTTTAAGAAGATATAAACTCACCATGGACGATATCATGCTAAAAAAAAGCCAAAAAAGTGTTTGAAGGCCATACAAAGTTAATCCAAGGGCCACAAAATGACAAAAAAGGGCAAAAAATATGATAATGAATGTTGAATATTGTATCAGATGTATTATACACTGATATTAATTATGTGTTTATCCCAAACGGAGGATCCAGCTGTCAATCGCGAGCGGCCATTTCAGAGGGAGAGAAACCTAGGTGTGAGAGTTTCTCATTTTCATGGAACATGTTGACGGAGACGTGAAAGATCTTCTAATTGGATCTACTAATCTGCTAATTAAGCATTGGTGATGTGGGCGCTGTGCCTGTAGATCGAGGGGCAATAAGGAATGCAGCAGCACAATGTGGGCGGGTGTCACCAGCGCACAACGTCTCGTCAAGATCCACTTCCAATGCCAGCAACGCTGCTGGTTAAAGACTGAATGTAATTAAAGCACCAATGAACCTATTCATTGAACCTATTTAAAAATGTCAGGGAAATCTTTCACCTTTCGGGTGGCGAGCTACGCCGCTTCCATACAGAACGACTCCGTCGAAGGTTTATTAAGCGCCCTGAATGATGTCAGAAAAAGGGCTTTTCATTTCCCTTCTGAAGCCATGCAAAAACACGGAAAAGTTCACATTTAAATCACAAAAACAGGTAAATTATTCTTCTCCAGCAGTGAGTCAAGAGATGGCTTCGTCAGCCAGGTTAGTGTTTGTTATGCATTATTTTGAGACATTAGAGTAACTGGAGAAAGTAAAAAAAATAAGATATAAAGTGACATTTCTGCATCAATCAGGCAGAAATGGAGAGACAAGCTGGAAAAGTGTCAGAAGAAGAGCAGAAGAAGAAGAAACATTCTAGATGCTTTGGGTCCCGCAGCAAATCGACATCCACATCCACATCAGCGACTCATCCAGAAAAACAGCTACCTGCCTCTACTAAGGTCAAAGATCATGATTCAACAATAAGACAGAGAGAAAATCTCTTCCATTGGAGAGTTTCAAGACCAGAACAGCTGACCTGACTCACATTTACTA